AGAGAGTCAATTTGATCGATCGATCGATCGAGTTGATTTTCCATGAACTAGACAAAGATAGATTGCTCATCGGTGGATCAGCCAGTATAAGAGAGAATGCGCTCGAACAAGAACAGCCGTTTTATAATGAAACCTTCCTTCATGCATGCGCACACTGAACACCAAGGACCAACGGTGTCCATACCCACGACCATCGTTCCGGATAAATTGTTTCTTTTAAGCAGCTATTTGATAGCTGCTTCTTTGAACAAGCGGTAACTGCTTTAACTGCTACTTGAAAATAGCAGTTTTGCCCATCTCTAGACCAAACTGAACAAGAGCACTGTGGGCGACGTGGGCGCCCTCTGCATGCTGCATGCGTTATCTCTTTCTTAATGAATACGATTGAAAAAAGACAAAATACGTCGTAAGTTTCCGTAGTTTCCCTAAACAGCTTTTACTTTTATAATAGCCTCGTTCGCGGTAAGGATTCTGAACTGGTTCGAAACTATTTCGCATGCGCAATTCAAGTAATGGCGTCCGCGGATCATAAAATTCTGAACTTTTAGTTACGATTCTGGATTCGCGGATCAGTCGGTTCGGAACCGTTTCTGAACCAGTTCTAGCGGTCCTAGGATTTTAGCAAGAACTTCAGGATTAACACATAACGTTCATTTACCTACGTATTAGACAGTCTGGAGAACTCGTTCCAAAACTGTTCGCGATAAAATAATATTTCGAACCAGTCCGATTCCAGAGCTGAGCATGTGCTCTACGCCAGTTCTCAATAGTTCCAGACTCCAGACTGGTTCGGAATCGGTTCAAAATATGAGCCTCTGTTGTTGCGTTTCATTTCATTTCATTTCAAGCGAAAACCAAAGCATCAAAAAATATATCTATTGTTACTTTTGAGAAAGCGGTGGAGGGGCGTCAAAATTTGGACTTGCCTTGGGCGCCGAGGGTTCTAGTTGTGGCCCTGGAAAAATGAACTTTTTTGCGACTTTTTGTGTGGAGAATATACGAGATACTGGTGTTTATCAGTCAAAATATTGACAGGTTCACATATTTTACGTCACTAAAAATTAATGTCAACATAGGTTAAGGCCAGGTCTGCACTGGGGTCAATGTTAGCGCCAGTGCGGTCCCGACCTTAGCCTATGTTGATATTTGTTAGTGACGTGAAATATGTCAACCTGTCAAAATTTTGACTGATAAACACCAGTTTTTCGTATACTCTTCAAACAAAAAGTCGCAAAAAGGTTCATCTTTTAATGTTCATATCTTAAAAACCATAAAACCTACAAGATTTCGTCCCATTCAAAGGTTATTAAGAATTAAATCCTCTACAACATATCAAAAAATGGGCAAAATCCATAGAGCCCAAAAATCCCATGTTAGGTGTGCGTTATCCTTTTAGACACATTTCATGTACAATGTCATATACCTATCTTCAACTGTTCCGGAAATATTGACAAATGAAAATTGACTTTTTTGCATCTTTGATAGACTGTGAAACCTGAACGGTTAATTTTAGAGGAAAACGGATTTTACATTCCTATCTTAGATTTTCATAAACTATCATTTGACACCAACCTTGAATTTAATCTATGATTAAAAATTTCGCCTACTTATTAATCTTCGATTAAATTCAAAGTTGGTGTCAAATGATAGCTTACGAAAATCTAAGATGGGAATGTGAAATCCTTTTTGCTCTAAAATTAACCGCTTAGGTTTCACAGTCTGTCTTAAGATGCAAAAAAGTCAATTTTCAACTGTCAATATTTCCGAAACAGTTGAAGATAGGTAAATGACATTGTACATGAAATATGTCTAGAATTTTCCGCAGAGTCCAGAAATGTCATAATATACAGGGTGAATCATTTAAAAAAACCTAACTTTGTGTCACTACTAATTAATGGGCCACCATGTATAGTGAAAAATAATTTAGGAATGTGGTACTTATGTTCATCTACAAATTTTGTATTCAGTTTTTTCCTCGATCTCCGTTAGTATAGAAGATATATGGACCACCGCGCGCTTAGTAACTCACCTTGTATACAGTGAGCGCCAAAAAGTTTGCAACAAATGGAAAAATATTTTATTATTAAGATATGAAAAAAAAATGTTACGTGGGATCAATTGACGTTAAAAGAGATGGACAATAAGTATGAAAACAAACATTTTCCCGCCAACATTTGCTTGCTTGTCAATGCCAGTGTGTATTGGGTGTTTTTACAGTGGCTAAATAAACCTTTACATACAGTGGCGACAATAGAGGTCCCGCCGCCATCTTGTTCCCAACCTCTTGTTACTTTTAAATATTTATATATAGGATTTAAATGGACATCTATCATAAAAAATTGAAATCGACGTATTTGATGACCATTATTAGGTCCATCAAATACGTTGTTTTCCATGATTTATGATGAATGTTCACCTAAATCCCATATATTCATATTTGAAAGTAACAAGGGGTTGGGAACAAGATGGCGGTGTTTTCAATATAAATATATGCGATTTTAGAACCAATCAAAAATGAGACAGCAATTGTCGCCACTGTGGGTTATAGAGTCACTGTAGGTGTTTTGAAAGAAAATGTGGGAAAAGTCACTATTTCATTTGCAGAACTTCGCTATGGAGCAAGCGGTGGATTATTTTGGAAGCAAACAGCTCCCGCAAACTGAACTTGAACGTGGATTACTTTGTATACTTGATAGGCCGTGGATTTTCCTTTTTTTTTGCGAGTATTCTTTCTGATTTTATGTATCCAAAGTTTGATAAATGTAGGATTTGATGGAAACTTATGGAAAGACACGTCCGCCGGTAAATAGGAATTATTTTTACAAAAAGGCACACTACACAATCACCATTGTTAGGAAAAAACTTTGAAAAAACCGAGGAAATAATAGTTTCCAGTTTCCACATATACAAAAGTCTTGTCAACAAACCACTGTCAGCGGGTGTCAACCGTTGTTTTCATACTCTTTTGGCGTCTGGCAGTTTGACGCCAGAGAGAGAGGGGCTTTAAAATTGAAAAGGTCAATTCAGTATACCCATCAACAAAAAAATCACTGTGACAGATGTCATGTGACCACAGTCGTGGCGGAAAATTTGAAAAGTTGTCCTTAAATATGTGAAAAGTGGGATAGGACGACCGAAAATCGAAAAATTGTAGAGAGAAAAGTTGTTCAGGATCCAATTTTACGTCCATGTGTCAATTTTTAAAAAGGTACAAGGATTTTTAATAAATAATAATTTTTTGGCCTGTTTTCTGGTAATTTGAAAAATATCGAAAACATTTCACAAAAATAATGGCTTGATTAAATTTAGAAAAAAGGTATTGGATAATTTAGAAAGATTTCATGATAATTCTAAATTTGTTATTCCAAATTTTTGTTTTCTGTAGGTCATTGCAACAAGATCAGAGTGGTCTGAAAATGAATTTTTGATTTTTTACAATTTTTCGCGAGACAATTAAGCAGAATTACTGTACTGGATTTTTTTTTTGTTAGTTTCACTTTGAATTATGTGAACCACACGGAAAGTTTTTGATATTTTTCAAATTACCAGAAAACAGGCCAAAAAAATGATATTTATTAAAAATCCTTGTACCCTTTTAAAAATTGACACAAGGACGTAAAATCGGATCCTGAACTACTTTTCTCTCTAGGATTTTTCGATTTCTGGTCGTCTAATCCCACTTTTCACATATTTAAGGCGAACTTTTCAAATTTGCCGCCATGACTGTGGTCACATGACATCTGTCATTTTTTTTTTGATATCTTAATAATAAAATATTTTCCCATTTGTTGCAAACTTTTTGGCGGTCACTGATATTTTTTTTTTATAATTATTTCACTCATTATGAAATAGACTAATCAGATGTCATTTACTAAATAAATTTTGTTTAAATAATGGCCGTTTCCGTCAACTATTTTAGGGGAGCCTTAAGGATAAGTATTCAGTATTCCCCAAAATGACATTTTTACATGGAGAAATGTCAGTTTAAAGAATACTTATTGTTAAGGCTCCCCTAAAATGATAAATGATTAATAAATCACAAGATCCAGTTGATTCTTGATTCGCCATGAAATTGTTAATAGTAATGAGAAATTTTTCCCTTTTAGATGAAAGCCTATACCCTTACCTATATCATCATTTTGTAAAACAAAAATTAGAATGACACATTTTCATTAAGTAAATATATACAAATACAAAACAAAATACAAATGAAATTTGTGTAGGAGAATTATGAAAACCTGTTCTTATGCCTACATTTATTTTTTAAAAAATCAAACAAAGAAGAAAAAATTGTCATCATTGTCCTTGTTGAAAATGTTAAAACTTTATACAAAAATCGACCTTTAAACACCGCTGGCGGTGATGCGCTCCTCCTGAAAAATCGTTGCTGAGAATCGGGTGCTAACTTCACACGCGTATTTTTGACTATGTGAGTAGTTCAATATTTATCAACATCCAAGAAAAACCTTGTTTGAACTACATATTAGTTGCTATTGTTATATGCAAAACAATTCAGTTTTAATTACCTACTATTTGTAACAGGAAATTCCAACTTGTGCCACCTTTTACAAGAAATTTTACTATAAAAATACACTCCCACATAAATCGTATGAGAGAAATTCAATAAATTTTTGTGGTTTTGATTGGGAAATCCCTTTCATTTGTATATTGAAATGTGCTCTATTATAATATAACAACAGGCAATAATATGTATATTCGCTACTGAAATTGTGAAAAATCTTACTGAAGTTATTTGCAAATTGCTTTTACAAGAAGAAAAAATATCCCAATTTATTTTTCTAAAACTTGAAACCGCCCTATCAGGATTCACTTCAGGAATAGTCACTTTGTTGATTGAAATATAGGGAAAAATCTTTTATCAATGATTTGCTAATCACTTGAAAATTGTAAATCAGACCAAAAAAGTAAATTAATGAGACCGAAATCAAGTCTATTTCCTCAAAAAATTGTATATCAACATCGACAATAATTATACTGACCTCGCCAAAGGTTACAGTCATATCCAAAATAAAGGGCACACGGAACTGCAAACACATCTAAACCCAGTAATAGATAACACAATCACTTAAAACTTTCAACAAAAATTTTAGATCCGGTATCGTTGATGTTTTTTCAATAGCCCACATTCGATAACCTTCTAAAATTATTAGACAAACATTAGTACCTCTAAAGTACGTCACACACAATATTGCGATAAGTAAACAACAAAAAAAATCATAATTCAAAAACCGATACTGATGTTTTTTTGACGATAGATATAAGTGAAATGTGGGGGTTTCGAGTCGCGAAGAAATCGGTGAGGATCAGATCCGGCTCGCCAAGCCGGATGTGAAAGAGAAAGAGAAGCGCGGTTAGCCTTCTATAAGCCAGGCCGTTGAAATATTGAAATTTTTCGGTGTGAGCCGCACTACGAGTTTCACCGTTGGTCGGTCGGTTGGGTATGAATGAAAATTACGTGAACCCGGACTTGGCTTTGGCTCTCGCCTGCAGGGAGTGTGTAACATTTTACAGGGGAATATTAATTATTAGTTAATTAATTAATGTGATAAATGATACTGTTTTCACAGTATTTGAGGTTTGAGGAAAAGCGGTTTTGAAAAATATCAAATGCTTCTTCTTCATTGAGACAATTTCAGTGAAAATTTATATGTATTGTGATCCAGAAAATCTACATTTATATTCTTCTAATGAAGAAAACAAATTATCTTCATCATGATAAAACAAACTATAGATTCCTCCACTCTGTTAAAATATTCTTTTTAATGAACCATTTTGATCTCTTTTTCCAAATTAAGCAAAATACCATAATGCATAAAATAGAACGTAAAATTACAAATTCGTATTTTTAATTTAACGAAAACGCTTGTAATAAACGGAATTTATTTACGTTTCACACAAAATTGCTTAATTTATTTGCGCATTTTTGCTAATTAAACAGAATTAGCATTTCAAACATCCGGCTTTAAGATCTGAAAATTTTGAAAAAATATACTCATCCAATTATTGTCAAAATTGGATTTGAAAAAAAGAATTCCTCATGATTCCACCGAGGGGTTTTTCACCTAACAAAATTTGTACACCGATTAACAGTTCTAACTGAAATATTTCCATTTTTCAACAGATATTTCTATGTAACAAGTTATTGCCAACTATTTTCATGTAATAACAAAATATTTCCACATATTGCCAGGTATTTCCCTAGTATTATCACATATTACCAGGTATTGCCATGCTATTGACAGACTAAAATCAAATATTTCTCTTGCAGAATTCTAAGTAAGTATTGACATATCCACAGGTATTTACATGTTATTAATGGGTATTCAACTAATGACATTAACATTATATTGCTACAAGTATTCACATTATAGTCGATCAATTCAACTTATTGAAAAATAGGTGGAAATAGGGTAGTATACTATGTATAAAAATCAGTAAAAAATCTGCTCGACCTTATTTTATAGGCTAAATGGTGATGGTATAGTGGGATACTAAATTATTTTCCAGCATATAGTCTATAGAATTAGTAAGAGAAAAACAAACTGTAATTTGAATTTAGCGCCACACCGGCAACCAATAGTATTCAAGCCGCTGACCATCTGGGCTGCGTTCAGGAATGGCTATAGCCAAGCCAAAATTGGCATTTTGCGTTCGAGTTCGGCTCCAACCTACGTGGTTCGGCATTACAGGTGTAGGGGGAAAAGTAGGTTTTGGCATTAGCATTGCCGTCCTTGAACGTACCCCTGGTAATGCTGCTCAAAATGACAGCTAAATTCAATAGTTCAACGACGTGTGGTGTCATGTGAATCGTGTGACATGTGTCATTGTCACAGACTTGTTTACGTTAGGCATTTTTTAACCAGTTCCCGTTAGTTCCCGTGTTACAAGCGGTTACAGGAAATCAATAACCGATCCGTTTTTGCGAGAATACGGTAATAGGGGAAGGTGTTTTGCTGTCATAAAGTAACGTCATCATTCTATAACACGGTTATTGTTTTTGATACCCAAGTCGAGAGTTGAGTAACTGAAAAATTTTAACCTTAGATTGATTTGTGATTGTTTTGATCTGTAAAAGTGAGTTTTTTCTGAGGTTTTTTTGTTTTTGGAGGATATCAAAAAATGGCAGATCTCGCATTATGGTCTATAAGCTGTCTCTCATGATTTTCTCGCAATATATATTTCAAGGGACCACTATGCTTGACTCGATAAGACTTGGAAATTAGAATATGCAGGATGTTTTCAAACATAATATCGTCAATTAGTAATAAGGACTTAATTATTGACTCCATTTCTTTTATGTTTACCACAAAATATGAACTAACCTCACCTTACTGTAAAATTTTGATAACCGTTCCGTTTTAGCGAGAAGCGGTTTAATCCTAGAAATCTGCCAATGGTAGGGATATATTTTTGAAGTTGGAGTGTTACCGTGTATAACCGCACGGGTTATAAACGGTTATTACTGAGATCTCGCTAAAAAATGCCTGTTGTTTGATGTAGTAAATTTGATGTTTCATTCTTGACGGTCAATGTCAGTGCAAATTGACCTTTTGTTTAGACGCCATATTGCGGTGCGCGAACATAGTTGCCAAAAGAAGAAAACAAAAATTGTTAGCGGGCTGCCAACATCAAAAACCCAGAAGTCATTTATTTTTATTTGTCAAAAAAAAATGAATGTGTCACATGAACTAATCTACGACAACCCTTTAATCCAAGTTGTGACGTATTCGATAACAAAAGTATGAACCCTCGAGAAACGAACCTTAGGGCCATATTCTCTGTAGTTCATAAAGCCTGGCTTAGTGGAAACGCTTGGCTTTTTGTGTGACAAAGCCGAGCTTTTCCACTAAACCAGGCTTTATGAACTACGGAGAATATGGTCCTTAGATATTTTATTATTGCTATTCTGCCCAATACAAGCTAAAATTGATGGCTTTTCATTTCAAAAACATTCGTAATAGGCGGCAAATTTGAATTTTAGATATAATTTATTCAGTAACTTTTGTTTTTAATGTTGACAGAACGCTAGTAATTTTTTTTTTCTACTTTTGGCAACCATGTTCGCGCACCGCAATATGGCGTCCAAACAAAAGGTCAATTGTGTGTTCTCAAAACCGTGATGTGTTGCCAGATTGGAAAAACTAACTACGTCACGAACTTTTATTTTCACGTAGGGGCGGGGCAAAGAGGAAATTTAAAAAATAAAATTTTAGGCTACTGCGGTTTTTACAAAGCAACTGATTACACTAAATAGTACGATACGTCGAGTATATCACTACGCAGTAGTTAAAAATCACTTGTATACTACCCCATTACTAGTTCTAGAACAGTTCTCATCTCAGTTGGAACAGCGCTAAATATGGAATTTGAAAATTCATTTAAAAGAATCAAAATTCAACTTGGATTTTGATTGGATTAATTTTGTTTTCTTAACTAATCCAATCAAGATCCAAAAACTCTCCAAATTCATTTTCTTAATTTATTTATTGTCTAACACCCAGTGGCGGCTCGTCGGAGGAGGCAGGGGAGGCTAAACTTCCCCCAAAAAATTGAAAATTCAATCTCAATTTTTAATTCCTTATTTCTAATTAAAATAATAATTACCAAATTACACTTTCCAATTTTCGATATTTCAATGTAATTTAGAAAAGTCTGGCAACATTATTTTAATCAATCCCGCGCCTCCACCACAAATATCTGGGAATCTGGGATACTCAGTAATACCGGCCCGAAGGGCCGGAGTTATATGCGAGCCCGAAAGACCGGAATAATACGAGCCCGAAGGGCTAGAGTTAAACGCGAGCCCGAAGGGCCGGAGTTATACGCAAGCCCGAAGGGCTAGAGTTATTTTAATCATGGGGCCTAGTTTATAATTTACTTTATTATTGTCTTTTTCTTACTCACTATAATCAATAAGGAAACCTTGTAATGTCATTTTCATTGAAATTAAACTAAAAACAAGTTTCCTATGATTTATTTGGGGAATTTTAATTATTATAATCATTATTAATCAATTATTAAATTGAATTTTAAACAAAAAATCCTTTTAAAATGTTATTTTTTTACTACTAACCTGAGAAATAGACATTATTCAATCTATTTTTCTAAGAAAAAATTGAATTTCTCTCCCTAGGTTAATAATGAAAATAATGAAAAAATACCTAAGTCAATAATGAAAATGACGTCATGACGCAAGGATATTGTCATGTTTCTATTGGTTCAATTTCAATTTCATACGTCAATTTGAAAAAAAATACAGGTTTCTGTAGGTACATAGGAAGTTATATAAGCTGTTGATAGAGGGCAGCACTTTCAAGAGGGCGTTCAGAAAAAATAATTAGAACACTGATTTCAAACAAATTTTCAATTTTCCACTAGCAGTAGTAAAAAAAATTCTATATATTCCTCGGTAGAGAAAGTCATTATATACCTCAAGCATTATAAAAGCTTTCGGTATATAATAATAATAATAATAATAATAATAACGTTTTTTTACTACTAACCTGAAAAATAGTCATTATTCAATCTATTTTCCTGGGCAAAAATTGAATTTCTCTCCCTAGGTTAATAATGAAAAAATACCTAGGTCAATAATGAAAATGACGTCATGACGCAAGGATATTGTCATAACGTAACAGGTTTCTATTGGTTTAATTTCAATTTTATACACTGTCAATTTAAAACAAAGCAGGTTCCTGTATGTATATTATAGAAAATTACAATAAGCTGTTGATAGAGCGCAGCACTTCCGACAAGAAAAAATTATTTGAGCACAGATTTACAACCTATTTTTTATTTTCTAGTAGCAGTAGTAAAAAAAATTCTATATATCCCTCGGTAGAGAAGGTCATTATATACCTTACGCATTATAAACCTCGGCGCTCCGCGCCTCGGTTTATAAAAGCGCTCGGTATATAATGACCAACTTCTCTACCTAGGTATATAATGTACTATTATTATGCATCAAAAGAAATTACATAAAAGGTAACATTCACGTAATGTGTTCTTCCATGCTACCCGAAAAAATAAATAAATAAATAAATACAGAATTCAATGCCTATTCTAAGCTACGCTATTAATTCCAGCAGAGAAGCCTTGTACTTCTTTTTAAATTTTACCAGTGAACCTGAAATCATAAATTCATACACCTCTGTATTAAGTAGTTGTACCGCTCGGTAAGAAAATGAGTTTTTAAAACCTTCGGTTATGTGCCGTGGTATTTGAAATCGTATAATATTTCTCAGACAGCGACTGTGTAGGTCTTGTCTTACTATAAGATATTCTGAGAGATAGGATGGGTAACCAGATTGAAAAATTTTATAAACGAATTGACCAAAGTGCAAGGCTGCTCGCTGTTCATATTTTAGTATCTTATTTTCTACATAGGTTGGCGTAATATGGTCAAATTTTCTAATGCTAAAAATAAATCTCATACAAGCATTTTGAGCTAACTGAATTTTGTTTTTAAATTCAACATTCAGGTAGTTATAGAAGACAACATTGCAATAGTCCAACTGTGACCAAATAAGAGTCTCCACTAACATCAATTTAATGTTGCGAGGTAAATTATCCTTAAACGGG